GGCTTGAGAACCAGGTCAGTGCCTTGCCGACTCGCCTCAGGCCAATTCTTTTAACTAGGTGAGAGAGGAGCCAGGAATGTGGGGAAGTTTCAGAAGCCTGTAGACTCCGCCGAGGGTCCTCAGTACAGGGAGCCCCGTGTATGCCCAAGCTTCACCCCCTGTGCTTTTCGCCAACCTGGTTCAAAATATTCAGGAAAAAACGTATCATTTATACTGTGTTGTCTACCACGTATCCCAGAGATAGTTCGAGAGTCAGCATATATATAGGTTATATGCAAATACTTCATCATTTTATATGACAGACTTGAACACACAGGGACTTTGAGACCCGGGATCCTGAGCCCAATTCCCGTTGGCTACTGAGGAACAACCACATTCATTTGCAAGCGCAGCCTTAACATATTTTCACATACCATATGACTTAAAGGATGGATTCGAGTTGTCTTACAATTTTAGCAGCTGCAAGTCTGACATCTTCGTGTCACCAGGGGTGGCTGCTTCTCAAAAGTCAGAGTGGGGCAGGCTGGTCCTCCATCTTGTCTAGGATGTTGCGTGACCTTCACCTTTATTGTCTGTATGTATACATGTCTGTGGTAAACGATCCCCTTTCTATCAGGATGCCAGTCTTATTAGTCTTTTTAGTTTGGGGGCCATCTTGATTCAACAGCCATGTGCAGATATCACGGATTTAGGGTGCACTGGAGAACACAGGCTGCCTGATGTATGTGGCAGTCACATTGTGATCTTTGTCATCGTCGTCACAATGGCTAGAAGAGATTTTAGGTGGGCCCAATTTAACATGGCTAGAGCTTTTGTAAGAAAAGACACACATGGGGGGAAGCGGGCAAAGAGACGAAGGTTGGAGTCATGGCCATAAGTCAAGGTGTGTTGGAGCCACTAGAACCTAGAAGAGCAAAGGGACTCACCCGTGAGGATTCTGAGGAAGCGTGGTTCCAGTTTGTGTCTCTGTAAGAATGTGATCCTGTGGCTGTCAGCCACACCATGGCTTCTTATATCTGCCTAGGAAAGAAACACTCTTGCGTCCTGTGTGAAAACCAAGACCTTTCGTTGTGTACACTCTCGACTTCCCGCTCCCTCCTCTGATAATTCCAGCCTCTATCACCCCAAGCTGTCTACTTGTACACAGTTCTCATAACGCTTCTCCAGGCTGAGACTTGGAAAAGGTGTTTTATTGGTGTTCAGAGTTAAGCCTCCATGTACCGTCTACCTCTCAAGACAACCCCTCTTCAAGTTTATTCCTTAGTTCATAATGCTTTGTCTTTGTAGCCTCTTCCACTGCAGCCTGGGCTGGTTATGTTTTCTTGTCAACTTGATACAAGCTAGTGTCATCTGGGAAGAGAGAATGTCAAATTGAAGAATCGCCTCTCTCAGTTTGGCCTGTAGGCGAGTCTGTAGGGGGATTGTCTTAGTTTGATTGATATTGGAAGGCTCAGTCCATTTTAGCTCTATCCCTAGGCAGATGGTCCCGGGTTCTATAAGAAAGCAGGTTGAGCAGGCCATGTAGGCAATCCAGTAAACAACATTCTCCATGGCCTCTGCTTCAGTTCCTGCCCTGACTTCCCTGGTTGATGGACTGTGGTCAGGGGTGTAGGCCAAGCAAGCCCTTTCCTCCCCAAGTAGCTTTTGGTCCTGGTACTTATCACAGCAACAGAAAAAAGAGAACAGAGTAGGGCCGTCACTCCATCAAGGCGTTCCTGCCAGCATCGCAAATCCGCACTGAGTGACGAAATGCAGTGTGTGCCTTCCAGGGTCTTCCTCTCTTTCTTCTGTACTCACCCTTGATGTGTGTGCCTCCTTCTGGTGTCTGAGGCATCCCTGGTTATTCTTTCTCCTTTGCTCACTCTTACACACTTACTCACTGTTGTCTGTGACTGTAGCCCTTTTCTTTTTAGGATAATCTCGTTCACACCCTCAGTCTGGATGTGAGCTATCATGTGGCTATGTGCCCTCCAAAAGTGGCAGAGACGCCACCCCCTCCTCTCCTAGTTTGCTTCCAAGTATTCCTGGGCTTGTGACAAGAATTTCTGCCTCTCTTCCTTCACAGCTTTCTCCTGCACAAGTCTCCTATCTTCCTCCCGTCTCTTGTGAGAACACACAGATAATGCAGCATGATCTCATGTCAAGATGCTTGACTTAATTGCATCTGTGGATAACTTTTCCCACAGAAAGCCACATTCATTTGATTCCAGGTAGACATGTCTTTCAGGGACCAATACTCGATTCACTCTCTGCACTCTACAAACCGAGTGTCCCTCAGGGACTCTCTGCCTCCATCTACATCCTCTGCCCTTGTCACTTATGGAATGGCTTGTCCTAAATCTTGCCGCCTTGGCCCATCTGCTCTCTCCTGCTTCATCCCCTGGGGCAGCATCAAAAAAAAAAAATGATCTTTCCACAATTTGAAACCGACCACATCATTCTGCTGCTTAAAAAGCGTGCTTCTGAGGAGCTGGTCTGCAGCAGACCTGTAATGCTGAATATTTCATGAACTACACAGCAATGGAATTGTCCCCTAGCTTTAAACTGCAGAGGATGTGCTCTAGTTTGCAGAGCAGGGAAGTTAAAATGCATTCTTCTAGCCATGTCTGTTGCATGCGCCCCCACACTCAGATGCTCTAATTAGTGAGTTACTATATCAGAGCTGCAGGCTCTACCTGGCTTTACCTAACTCAGTGCCTACTCAACCATCTAATGCTGTGACCCTTTAATACAGTTCCTCATGTTGCGGTGACCCTCAGCCATAAAATTATTGTTGTTGCTACCTCACAACTGTGATTTTCCTACTGTTATGAATCATAGTGTAAATAGCTGATATGTGACTCCTGTGAAAGGGTCATATGACCCTCCAAAGGGGCCGTGACCCACAGGTTAAGAACCACTGCTCTAACTGGATGCAAGTTAAATGTGTATACTTGTGTGAAGGGAACTGGGAAGCTCTGCAGTCCCTTAGACGAAACAAGCTTCTAAATGTTTGATACTGTCAACCGGTCCCCTTAGAAGGCAGCAGGAGACGATGTCTTCATGCTCCTCCCACGTTGTCTCAGATCGAGACTTAAGCGTTCTCCCTATGCATGAGCTAACTCGAGAGCAAGAAGTGCTCAGTCCAGATGGTGTATGCCTTTCTAATGGACAAAGTCAAGTCAGAAGGAGCAATGCTTAGGAAAGAGAGGACCCTTATAAAGTGGACATCCAGGGCCACCTGTTGTATGTAAGAGCACACCAAACTCCCAAACCTCCGCAGCCCTGCCCCACTGGAAAGAAGCCCATTCTATTTATCCGTTTATTTATTTACAGTGTCTCACATAACTCAGGCTGGGCTCACATCCACCATGTAGTCGAGGCTCATCTTGAACCCGGGAATACTCCCTTTGCACTTTCAGAGTGTTGGGATTACAGATGTACTCCACTGTACTTGGTTTATTTGGTGGTAGGGACTGGGCCCTGGAAATCATGAGTGCTCAGCAAATACTCTCCCAACTGGGCTATAGTCCTAGGCCCAGCAAATCATATATATTTTTTTTAAATCTAATTGTCAAGGCAATAATTGAGACATGAATCAGAAAGGCTCAGAGTTGGTCTCCCTGCATAGCTCAGTGGGTAAAGTATTTGCCAGGCATACATACATGAGACCCTGGGCTTGGTACCCGGCCTTGCAAAACCAAAACCAAAACCCCAAACAAAGTTATCACCAAGTTGATTCTTTTTCATTAGGTTTGTCTAAGACAATTCAGGCAGATCTCTGGCATGATGCCAACCTCCTCACCCCCGGGTGGGTTTTATAATATGCATGGCAGCTTGGCTTTTATTCTGATTTGAAGTCTCTTGAGATAACAAATGACAGAAACATAACCCCAGTCTGGCAGGAGTGTGCATTGGCTCAGGAATGGAAAAGCTTTGGGAATGGTTTACTTTAGTCTGATTGGATCCAGGGCCTTACACAAATGTCAGCAGAGCATGGCTTCTTTCTCCATCTTCCACTTTGTCACTTTCCTTTGTCTTCTGCTGGCTCCACTCTCGGGCTCTCTCTTACCAGGTGGTACCTGGCAAATGCAGGCTTATTTCCCACTAAGCCAGCAGCCTCAGAGCAAAGCACCTGTTCTTGGTCTCCATGGAGATGGGATCCAGGCCATGCAGGATGCCCAGGCACTCAAATTCTTACTTATATCAAAGGAATCGCACTTACACTTACCTGTGATATCCTCTCCAGCTCTTAGATCTTCAGATCACAACACAGAATTTGTGAACTCTTTGGAAATGGTTGTTCTACTGTATTGTTCAAGGATGATGGCAAAGTCTGAGAATGTTTAAGTGCAGTCACTTGTCTGGGTCTTTTTGATTCATACTTGTGTGAATTTCTGGTGTGAAGCCCGCAGATATGAAGTACCCACTATCCTTCATTCTCCAACCACTGCCACCACCAAAGTTGTAAGATTGGCTTACACTAGCCCAGCTTGAGTGACATGACTGGCCAGATCCAGCACTATTTGGTTTTGTTTGTTTGTTTGTTTGTTTGTTTTTGAGAGAAGGTTTTTCTGTGTAGCTCCAGCTATCCTGGACCTTGCTGTGTAGACCAGGCTGGCCTTGAACTCAAAGAGATCCACCTGCCTCTGCTCCTGAGCGCTGGGACTAAAGGTGCTTGCTGCCACTGCCGGCCTGGCTCTCCTCTGGAGCCAGTGATGGGTTTGCCCTACCATAGTCACTCTAGGGTAGAAATGTGGTTTCCTAAAGGATCACTGTGGCATGGTTTCTAGAAAAAGACGATTGGATGTTGGGCAGGCAGAATAGGAATAAGCCAGAATATGAGTTGGCAATAAGCAGGAAAAAATAAAAATGAAAAAACACTGTCTGTTGTTTTACTATTTGGCAGTTCAAATGGAAAAAAACTCATTGATATATATATATATATATATATATATATATATATATATATATATACATTTATTTATATTTATACATTTCTTTTTTCTTCTCACAGAAGAAACTGGTAAGAGAGATTAGGGTGTCCCAAGTCCTGATTAGACAGAGTCATAGTCAAGGATCGTGGCAGCTCTAACCATCATGCCCTAACCTGCCTTCCCAAAGGAGGGATACATGAAGACTGCCCCATGTGACATCTACTCTGCTTTGTGTTGAAGGCATGGTTTCCGGACCTTGTCAGGTGCTGGTCTATATGAGGTGTGTGTTTGTTTGAGATGAGGCCCTGGCTAGCCTTGAACTTGCATTCGCTCTGCCTTGGTCTCCAGAATGCTGGGGTTACAGGCATGAACCACCATACTGGCTTCCCTATAAGGTCATGAATAGTCTGCTGAAGAGATGGCTTAGAGGTTAGGAGCACTGGCTGTTCTTTCAGAGGTCCTGAGTTCAATTCCCAGCAACCATGTGGTGGTTCATAGCCATCTATCATGAGATCTGGTGCCCTCTTCTGGCATGCAGGCACACACGCAGAATACTGCATAAATAATAAGTCAAAAATTAAAAGAAGATCATGAATAAATGATGAGGCTTGCTTGGGATGTACAGGCACCATCAGGCTTTAGGATTGATGGGGTTCTCGTGCGCATATCCACCTTTTTCTGCCTAACTGCATCAGGCCTGAACTTTTGGGGACCTCCGTCAACAGCTTCAGTCTGGGGCAGGTTGGCAGAGCAAACCGTCGCATTGGGCACTAGAAAGAAGCACTCGACATTCATTTAATGAGCAGAGTTTGTCTGTTTCACAGCTTAGAAATGTGTCCCTCGGGGGTGAGAGAGATGACTCGGCAGTTAAGACAAGTACTACCCTTGCAGAGGGCCCAAGCTCAGTCCCAGCACCCACACTGGACGGCTCACAACTGCCTGTAACGTCAGCGCCAGGGCATCCGACGCTTTCCTCTAGACTCTTACACCGCACGGAGACGTACGATGTGCTGGGCTCTAACCCAAGGCTTCCTGTGCTCTAGGCAAATTCCCTCCCAACTGGCCGACATCCCTGTTCTTTCTTTGCACGCTGCTTTCTTGAAGATGGCCTATCAATTCTTTCCTTCCTAGAGAGGGAGGTTGAGAGCAGAGATCACCCAGGCTGCCTCAGCGAGAAGTTTCTATCATGGGCTGTTTGCTCTCACGCTGCTCTAGAGTTGCTCTCTATAAAACCTGTTCTCTTTACAGCAACAGCGTGAGCTCTGAGATAGCCCTCCATGCCAGTTTTTAGCAGCAGAGCAGGGTTTGTGAGTTGTAAGCTCCCTCGGGTGTTTCTATAGGAGTCCAAGGCTCATCATCTTGGTGTCTGATCAGTACCAAGGCACGCTTCTGGAATGCATACATGGTTTCAGTATAAACAGTCCCCAAACTCATGTATCAACCTGACAAAGTCTAGACTCAAATGCTTGTTTCAAGGAGAAAAAATGAGGAGGAGGTGGAGGAGCCATTCTTTTAGAAAGAATAGCAAACCTGTAAAGCCAGGGTATGTTTATACAACTAGGTTATAATTTAAGTAAAGCAATGTAAGACAAGCTAAACTGGAAGCCGTCTTTGTCACTGGACCTTCAAAAGGGCCAGGTGAAAGGACAGGCCAGGCTCCCTGTCTTGTCTCGGCCAAGCAGATGGCCAGCACCTTAGTTCATTGCTGCCAGGGTGTGTCTGCTCAGTGCCATTCTTGCTCTGAGATACTGAAGTTCAAAGGGATGAGCAAGAGCCTCAGGAGAGACAGAACCCCCCTCTCAGGGGTCCGGACTGCCCATGGGCGCTGTACCCTCACACAAGTAACAATTTACAGCTGATTCATTCCACCCTGCGGATGCAGGTCATTACCCCAGAGCAATGTCTCATTTCAAGAGAAAACAAACTCCCATGTGAATTTTTATCATATTCTTAGGGATGCCTGTGGTGATCTCATCTCCCATGGTTTTCTCAGACTTCTGAAGTGCAGCTCAACCCCCTGTCATGTTCTTCAGAGAACCAGAAACACAGTTTTCTCGTTGATATTTGGTGTATGCTGTGGGTCAAGTGAGCAGAGGACAGAAGGACCAAAGTCGTCTGTTTGGGTGAAAGTGCAGAAACAAGTCCAGTAAACAGTAGGAGGAAAATTATGGGGCTTATGAACAAAATCAATGCTTTATAAAACTTTATATCCCCATGTTAAGTAAGTACAATTTTAAGACAAACTGTTTTTAGTGGTATATTCATTTTTAGAGATGCAAAACTCTATATCAAATAGATATTTAAAAAGCTATGTGCTGGGCCTAGTGGCCTATGTCTCTAATCCTGGCTACCTAGGAGCCTGAGGCAGGAGAATTGCAACTTTGAGGATTGCCTCGGAAACTAAGACCCTGTTTCAAAACACTATAGGGCTGGGCATTTATCTTAGCAGTGGAGCACTTGCCTAGCCTATATGAGGCTCTGGGTTCAATTCTCAGGACTACAACAAACAAACAAAAAACAAAACTAAGACCAAATGAAAACTCCTGTAGTCTTTTCAGTCTGTTCCTGGTAGATGCTCCAACTCTTGGAGTCTTATCTGCTTTTTTAATCAGCCAGAAACAGAAATGAACAGATGGTCCAGGCAGCTGCCCGAATGCCACTGTCTGGACTGTGGGCACTTCTCACCTGGACCATTCCTCTCCCTGTTGGGCTCCCTGTCTCTTTGCTCACCTTTCTCTTCTCCATCCTCTGTCTTTGCAGAAAAATGCTTCTCAAGCTTTCTAGTGACCCTACCTCACCCCAGACTCTCTGAAATTGGGCTACAGCACACTTTCCTTCCTTCCTTCCTTCCTTCCTTCCTTCCTTCCTTCCTTCCTTCCTTCCTTCCTTCCTTCCTTCCTTCCTTCCTTTTACTTTTTTTCTTTTTTTGAGACAGGAACTCTCTGTGTAGCTTTGGTTGTTCTGGAACTTCTCCGTAGACCAGGCTGGCCTCGAACTCAAGAGAACCACCTGCCTCTGTCTACTGGGTGCTGGGATTAAAGGTGTGCACCATTAGGCCTAGTTTACAGCAAACTTTTCTAATTCCATCTTCCCACGAGCTATCAAACTGCCAACCCTGATCTCTTAAGGTTTATCTGAAACTTGCTCCTGAAGCCGTTGTACCAGGGGCAGCTTCCTATGGCACTCTGCTCTACATCGGAATCCTGTAAGAGACAGTGGTGTTTCCCAAAGCAGGGCCACCCCTGGAGGGCATCCGTGTCCTGTGCTTTTACCATGTGTGATCCTCTCCTCATGGAGGACTGCTGAGAATGTGAGGCAGCCTGGGCTTGCACAATGAGCTCGAGCCCCATCTGAGAGTGTGAGATCAAGATCAAAAACAGAGAGAAAAAGAGAAAACTCTACATGCGTGCGTGTGCACGCACACTCACTGTAATGGTCAAATTTTCCTTTGAGTTCTCACAAGTTTTGGCCAATTTTGTGCTGAGGTGAAGGCTGCACTGTGTGTGTGTGTCTGTGTCTGTCTGTCTGTCTGTGTGTTCTTAGGTTCCTTTTGTATTCAGGCTGTGTCTCCACTGTAGCCTAAACTATTTCTCCACTGTTGTAGCAGTGGCTACTGCCCATCTAAGAATGTGCTGCTTTGGCTATGTCAGGGTCTCACGTAGCCCAGGCTGGCTTGGAACTCCATATGTAGCTGAGGCTGTCCTTGAACTCCTCATCCTTCTGCCTCCGTCTCAGGTGCTGGGATGAAGGTGTGCCTCGAGATACCTGCTTTGGTTAAACATATTACTATCATTTTCAGATCTGTCTTGACCACTTTTCCTAAAACTTAGTTCATTGGTTTGAACAATGATATGATTCACCAAAGGTCTGACTCATTCTTCGAGGGGATGTAATATCTCAACATGGATGTTTTAAAAATCTAGTTCCTAGGTTGATTTTCAGTGATTTTAGTCAACAGCGGTATATTACGTATATTAGTGGTTTTATTATGCATGGTGTAACCAGGGCTCAATGGTTCTTTTGTGGTCTTGCCTCAGTTCTTTGCTGGGATGCCAGGGTAACATATGGACCTGACCCTGTGCTTCTCCCTAAGAACCCTGGTTTTGGATGAGCTTTAGGGAGAAGGAAAAAAAAAAAGGTTGAAAATAGAAGATCCATGGATTCATTGAAGATCCATGCCTGAGAATTAGTGGATGTCTGCTTCAGAACCTGGATGCTGAAAGACAGTCCTGTCTTGACTACATCCATGGCAGAAACACGGGTAAGCATGATCTAGACATCAAGCCCGTTTCCTCACATGTACCGTCACACAGTGGGGAAGTATAGTTCCTAATCTTAAGACAGGTGTTTCAATTTACTTAGAGCAAACTAATGTCATCTATGCTCCAGATCTGGCTTAGAAAGAGCCACAGGCGAACAGACTCGCCCTGTCTGTCTCCCTCCATCCCTAAAGGGGGTTAATTATCTGTTGCTCACTAGGACTGAAAGCATGGCAGTGATGGCTGCTTTTTATTATTATTATTATTATTTTTACTTCTCTACATCAGGCTGGTTGCTTTTCCAAACTGAAAGCCTGCGATTGGTTTGGTTCTGGTAGTCTACGTATTGTATGAGCAAGCAACAGCTAAGATTATGGGGTTGGGCCCCCGCAGAGCCCACCTCCCCCGCCTGCTTGCTGCTCATAGGAAAGTCACTGACTTTTCTCCAGGCCCAGCGTCCTGTGTCTCAGAGGAGGCTATTCATATCATAGTCACAAGGCTTTTGTGAGGGACATCCTGCTGATAACACCTATAGCAGAAACCCTGGCACGAATTAGACACCCAGTAAACGGCAGTGGCTAATGACTGGAGAGCGTCAGAGCTGCCAGAACCAAAGCTGACCTTCATCATTTTAGACCGGAGGCCACTTTCTCAAGGTGGCTTCATCAGCTTGAGTGGCACCCTGCAGACAGAACCAAGATTTTTAGCCCCCAGAAAAAACACTGCATAGAGGAACAAATTGGTTTCCAATGCGTCGAAAAGTTTGGAAGTGTTGATAACGAGCTTTGGATGCTGGCAGTAGGAAGTAGCGAGGCCCTGAGTCCCAGCACTCTCGGAGCAGGGGCAGGTGGCTCTCTGTGACGCAAGGAGAGCCTGGTCTACATAATGACTTCTGGGCTAGCCAGGGCTACAGAGTGAGAGTCCGTATAACCCAGTGGTCAGTTCTTTATTTATTTAAAA